GGCACGCCTTCCAGGATGCATCTGTCTTTTTCTGTTTATAATCTTGATTGAGATACAAAATACATATTACAAAAACAGCATAGAGTGTGACATAATGACCGCAAGGGCGCAACAAACATTGAGGCAACAAATATTGAGGCAGTACAACAACCTAGTATTACATAAATAGATTAAAGAGAACATAAAGTGCAAATTTTAATAGCTTCAGTATTGCTGGAATGTCAAATAGTTTTGATATACTGTTTGACCTCATTGCCAAAAAAGTGTTATTAGTGTAACGGCATTTATGCATGTGCCATTTGGCTAAGTATATAATAAGATTAATAATATAAAAATGTTTTTTTATCTGTTTGAAACTCCATCCATCCATCCATTTTCTGTACACCCTTGTCACTTAGCAGTGTTGGGAGGTGCTGGTGCCTATCTCCAGCTCTGTTGGATAGTTAATGAAACAAAACCATACATTTTCAAAACAAATGGAGACATACGGTTCAATAGAAGCAGAAATCACAATGAAAATACTTTTCCAAAATTGAACAGAGAAAAGGCCAAAATAAATCAAATATCTTCTGTGTTTCCTTCACTAAAGAGCAAATAATATCCATGTTATTGTTAAAACGTTGTCGAAAAACTTTGGATGGGTAAATTCTGTGAATAATTTTAAAAGACACTTCTTTTACTTTATTAGTTATATATTTGGTAAAGTCCTAATCCTTTTCCAGTTAAAGTTATCAATAAAGATGTTCCAATAAAATATCAAATATGGAGTTGACATGTTTTTCTGAAATAATGAGCATTTGTTTTTGATGTTTGTTGCTTTTACAGGTTGAGCAGAAACAGATTTGGAAAAATTTAAAGTTTGGTTGGATAAAAATGAAAAAGTCTTGGATTCTGTCCTATTAAACTTAAAAAAAAAAAAAAACTTACTTCAGCATGTTGGGAACCAGGGTTTTTTGTTTCTTTGTGGGGGGGTTTCTGTCTGCCTGCTGCTTCCCCTTTTCATCCACTAGAGGACGACTGGAGGCTGCACCTGTGGAGAGCGTGCCTGCTGACTCAGCCAGCACACCTGTGATCTATCAGCTAATCATCCTGGAGTATATGAGGAACTGACTGCCAACACCTCGACGCCTGAATGTTTGCCAGTTTTTGGTACTCTGAGCCATTCCGCACTACTTCTCTGTGTTTTCCCTCTGAAGTAGTGATGGTAAATGAGGCGTCGTATCGTTTCGACCCAAAGCAAAACTGTGTCCATTCTGTGTTGATACATGAAGCCGTTTTAAAGCCATCTATGGGTGACTTCTGAAAATGTCTAAGCTAATTTTCTCATGTACCCACATCAAATTTGATCCTTGACAGACAAGATTTACTGTTTCTTATCAAGTAAATGTTTAAGTTACTACTTTTGTAAATGTTCCAAATCTATTTTTATGAAATGGCTTTTAAATTGAACAACATTCTAGACCAGGGGTCCTCAAATTCAGGCCTAGAGGGTTAGTTGATGTTTCCCCTTTCCAACACACTTGAATGAAATGGTTGAATCCTGAGTCGTCGGTTAAGTTTTCAGAGCCCTTCTATCAACCTCATTATTACTCAGATGTGTTGAAACAGACATACATCTAAAACCTGCAGATTCTGGCCCACGCAGAACAAGTGCCTTGTTGCTGAAAATGTGCTATATAAATAAAATGACCTTTACCCTCAAGGCCTGGAGTAGAGGTTCCCTGCTCTAAACTTTGAACATAACCAGATCAACATTTCCAAACATGTACACATGGAGGGGTTTATGTTTGCTCATGGCCTGTTGACACGTTTAGTTCAGTGGTGTATCTATTTTGGAAAAGATAATTGCTGTCAGGAGTTCTCAAGTCTAGTCCTGGAGAGTTACCATCTTTTAAAAGCATTCCTGCTCCAACATGTCTGGATCAAGTGAATGGCTTATTGGTAGACCTCTGCAGAGCTGAGAAGAAAGTCAGCCTTTTGACTTTAGAGCAGGAATGCATGTAAAAGTTGCATTCCATTTCGGATGGTAGCTAAAATGTGTGGAGAGGAACCACCTGACTCACATTTTCCTTAATTAACCATCTGCACAAGGTTTAATGAAAATTCAGTAGTAGGATGTTGGGTTAGGATCTTAAACTTAAGCTGAAAAACCTGAAAACTGATATAGTAGGACTCTAGATGAACATTTTAGATCGTAACTTAGGAAAAGAAAGGCCTAGAAAAATCAAGTGTTTTTTAATGTATTCTCTTAAAGAGGGCATTATGGACTTACGATGTCTGTAGGTCTCAAACTCGCAAATCATGAAGCTTCAGCTGAAATTAGTTTTAACAACTAACAAATGTTCACCTGATTTATCACTTGTTGCAGTGGCATGTCTGTCTGATTCTGCAATCTAGGAGAGAGATATGCAACAGTCTTGATTTATAAATGATGCTTTATTTGTTTTTTACACAGGTTAGTTTTCTACATGACCTAAATGTCTACACGTAGCCAGTAATTTGCTAACAGGAGACACTTTACTTTATCTACTTGAATCTGAAGTCACTTTGTCAATCATAACAATATTAAATTTTATATATTATTTATTTCCTTCTGTCCATTTCAACAAACAGGTTGACTTATATTTTCATTAAGGAAAATTCTCTAATTTCAATCATGCTTGAAGTGATTTCCATAAATCCTCAGATAATCCATATCAGGATTCCAGAAACAAGAATCAAACATCCATCAACATGTATTAAACAATGAAATAGTGATTAAAGAACCACAGAAACAATGACCATTAAAATCAAGATACAGGATTCATTATTTTCATATTACACATAAAAGCACTGAAATGGATCACTGCACAAAGTTGATCAGATTTTTCAAGTTAATTACAACACACATGCTGCAAGGGAGCTACACATCACCTCATTAGTTTTACACAGTTAAAAAAAAGTTTGACATAATTTATCCTTTATGTTGTGTTTCAGCAAAAATTCTCCATTAAATATTTCTAGTTTTAATACAAGGAAACGTGTAATTCAGAGAGAAGGTACAACAGGGTGACTTCATGCTGAGAAGGAACTCTTGTCATGTTTTAGCCGCTGTCAACACAACAGTGCTGCAGGTTAGTTTCCTGAAACTGAACAGGCTCAGCTACATGCTGTCTTGGCAGATTGCATAAATATTTGATAGATTCCTCTTTATCTCTTACATAAAGTTGTTAATTCAAACGCTGGGTAAAGTTTTCAGGGAAAAGTCCTCTTTGTGCACCAACACCAAGGTTTGACCAGTCACTTTCTTTTATGCCTGTGAGCCAGCCTGCTTCCTGTAACACAAATATAATCAGATGAATGTTTAAATATTTCTTACTGCTTGTTTTCTTGCAGCTCTGGTTGCTCTTACTTGATCTTCCACTGAAGCAGTAGGCACCACCAAAACCACATCTCCTCTTTTCAGTTCAAGCTCATCTGAATTTGCAGCATCAAAATCATGCATGGTCTCCACCTGAAGCATGAAAGCAATATGTAAGTAATGACTTAAATCCCAAACAGGTAAAAACTGTAGCAGCTTTGTTTTACAAGACGTGCCTTGTACAGAAAGTCATCAGGAAATCCTGAGCCTCCGCCTGATGGACTCATGTGTTTGAGGCCGCGGCTTTGTGGCTCCGCCCCGTCGTCGCCGACAGCTGTAGGTGAGATGATGTCAGCATCTCGGTCATCGTCACCTTCGTTACTGGAGGCAGGTTCAATCACTACAGAGGGGATGGGCATCTTCTCCTGTACAGAAGTCAGAGTTCAGTTTCAGGTTTATTTATCCAAGGACAAAATAGGAACAGTATCAACCATGAAAATTCAAGTCTTCTTTAAACTCATTAGCTGGATTTATCCTGGTTATATTAATAGCTACAGAAATATTAAGATTAAACAAGAAAATGTTTGCGTGACAGGTGATGTTTCTAAATAGTGAATTATTAAGTTAATAATTATGTTCCTTCTATTGATTTGGCCCTGAGCCGTGTCCAGTTGGGCTTACCGATGGAGCGGTCTCACCTCCAGATGGTTTGGTCTCATCAGCCAGAGGAACCTGTTCAGACACTTCAGTTAAAATATTGCAATCAGATTCTATTTGTCTCATTGACAAACGAGCAGGACAGAGATTCTCAACTTCAAAATTACTGACAGATTGATTTCAGTGAAATAAAGGATAAAATTGATTTTAAAATGAGTAAATCTAATAAAACTGCTGGAAATTGCACTAATTCTCACTAAATTACTGACAAATGATCAGCATTGTTACTGATTTACTATAACTGTGAACCTTGATTTTAATCAAATTTTAAAATATTGGGCATCTCTCTCCATCTAACATGTTTGTAGTTAAAGAACGGGTTGCAACATCTTTTCTCACCAGCCCTGTTTGGTCCACTTTAATCAGACTAATCCGTTTGTCTAGTAAGCCCAATTCATTTGGGGAGTGTCATTGCAAATTTGAATTCCAAAACGGACTAAAAAAGCGAACTCTGAAAACCTCGGTCTCGGTCCTTCTGAAGTGAACTCTTAAAAGTTTGAAAGGCAGTGAGAATGCAACTGGACTGGAGACCGCTCTAAAAGCAGGAAGCGAACTACAGTGCAGGGCATTCTGGGTAATATATTACTCTCTGCTCTGTGAGATGTGTCGGTTGCCATGACAACGGGTCTGTGTGCCGACAAAGAGGAGAACAAGCAGAATATAAATGGTTTAAAGTTGTTTTCCTGTTTATCAGCTTATTTTCCCGTTGCTGTGGCGCTCTGCAACCAAACTAATCGCCTCGTTTTTTTGAACATAATCATCAAATAGGATGACATATTCTATGTCTCATATATAAAAAGTATATGAGTAATGGTTTGTTACATTTTGACAAACTAATTTTAACAGCAGCAATTATGTAATATTAAATTATTCACAGATATAAAGGAGCAATTTGTTTAGTCCTCTCTTGCATTTTGACAGGAACCCAAATTGTTTATAGATTTATATCAAGTAAGAGTTTATATTTTACATTAAAAAAAAAATCATCAATGTCCTCAGCTTTAGTTTAAGCCATGTTTATAGAAATCGGGTAAGAAATAAAGGCGCTGCGATCATTTTGTGACAGATTCCTGCTCATCCCGCAGTGGAACAGCCTGGTTTAGTGGACAGACTCACCGAGGATTAATGGGGCCTGCAGGAGCGTCGCTAGCGTTAGCAGCTAACAGGCGACGTCCAAACCAGTAATGTATATCAATGGAGAAATCCTACAACCGCTAAAATCTGACACTGCTCCATTTTTGTTTACTTTTTGTGAAGGAAGTTGCGCTGCTCTTCTTCAGAGGTTTTGTGTCGATTTCTTCAGTAGTTCTTGGTGCAGCGCCACCAGAGGCGGCGGGAGGAACATGTTTTCAGTTAGTTTTAGTCGTTTGACACAGTGCAGTGTGAATGCGAACTACAGTTCTGAAAATGTAAGAAATGTTGCAACTTTAGTCCCCAATCGAACCGAGTCTACTGGACTATCCGGTGTGAAAAGACCCTTAATGTCAGAACATATGTAGGCAGTAAAGATGTCATTCTTCATGGTTTTTGCCCATCAACTCCGAATATTTTCTAAATAAATTAAGGCCTTTAAAGAGCTAATTCTTACTAGGTCAAACCCAAATGAAGTTCATTTACACCAATGGACTACAAACAGATTTTTTTGGTTTATCTTTACTGAAAAAATACCATTTATAGGAGCATTAATCTCTAAAACAGGCTGCAAGTTTTTGTTCACTGCTGGTTCTTGTTCTGCTGGAGGTTTCTTCCTGTTAGCGGGGAGTTTTTCTGTCCACTGTTGCTACATGCATACGCCATAGATATGAATATGTAAATGCCTCATTGAGCACTGAGTCCTACGTTATGTCACTGTCATTAAAAATGTGGCAATAGAGCAGGGGTGTCAAACTCAATTTCACCGAGGGCCACTTCAGCATATTGGCCCCCCTCAACGGGCCACATTG